CATTTTAAATTCACATTAACTAAGCCATTGACAGAGCAGAAAAAGGTGTTCAGATGAAGTAAAAAATAGATATTTGGGGTATTAGATAGGTTTAGTTATATTATTCTTCAAGTGATCCTTTTTCTTCAAAGGAGAGAAAATTCAGATACCACAGTGGGAATGGTGTTTCCATTTGCCTCTCTTTTCCTAACTTTTGGAATTGAGCTCTTGGTCTTTGGATGCTATCTGAACTTGTTTCACAGCTCTGAGTGGCAAGTATTCATTCCATGTGACCTAACAGTTAAAACTTGGTATCCTATCCCAAGGTCTTTATTTGGAAAGACTGAAGTTATGCATTTCAGTCAGAACCTTAACTTGGATCATTCCTTTAGTTTAACAGAACTGTCTTTAATATTTCATCTCACAACACTGACCATGTCACATGCCAAGGCAAAACAGAAAAGTGACCATTCCCAAATGCTTCTACCTCTTGCTTTCAGTCCCTACTTGCCTTAAGTTCTAACACAAGGTCCATCCGCTTCTTTCCCAGAGGATTGATGTCATTGAGGATCAGGGCTGTGATGATATCGATGCCATTTGACTCATGGGTGGCTATGCAATTCTGAGCAAATAGACATACAGACATTTACACAAATACTGGTCATAAATCAGATGTCAAAGGCCAACAGACTGAAATGCTATTTCAACACAATGCTTGCCACTCCCACTGGTGTCTCTAGGGGAGAGCAGCAATTTTCCGTGAGAAAGTGGTAAAAATAAAAGACAGATGAAAATCTCTGGTTTCAGAATTAACAGTAAACAGTAGGAAAGTCCCCATGCACGCTAACTGATAAACTGGTTGCATCTTATCCAAATAGTGCAGCATACTTGGCTTTTGTTCTTAAAGGAAAATATGGTATATGACTGATACCAGGGTCTGAGCCTTTTTTCCCCTTTAGAAGTATGTTCCATTCTCCCTACATCACTCGTGTTGTGTATTTCATACTTTTGATTAAGGTTTAAGCTTGGAATGCAAGCTTATGGCTTAATTCATACAATATCAAAATCAATCATCTTTCCCCAGGTAAGATCACATTTGCAGCACAATCCACTCCAAAAAAGCAAAGTCAAAGTTTTAAAGAAATGTATTTACATGTCAAAGCCTTTCTCCTAAGTTTGTTACATTTCTGTGTTCCTTTTCATTATACTGTAACTCATATTATACCACTTGCTTTGTCAGGGAAGAAGAGGAAAGAAAATTTAACAAAACACTATCCTCACACTTAGGCAACTAAGATCAGAATTTTTCATAGGCAGTGAGTTGTCTCTTGTAAACTGCTCTCCTCTAAGTGAAGGCCCTAGTTCCTCATTTTCTGGGTTTAGAACTGACCATTTTAAGTCTTGCCCTAACCCCTCCAGCTGGGAAGCATCATTTGAAGTAAAAATTATACTAATCCTGGCACTGAAACTGAAACTTACAAAATCTTCCAAGATGCCATGTATGAGTAATAACTCCCCTCAAGAAAACAAATATTGGATTCCACTCCAAAAATATACTTTTTAGGAGACCAAAGTCAAGAATATATGGTCTTTTCTTTCCCTAAAGCTCCATGTTAAAATCTCAATTACAAATGTTATTGCTGTTTGATGTTAAGCAATTTGTTTTCTCTTAAGCTTGACTTAAATCCCCATCAAGTAGTCACATTTTGATCTTTCCTTGTATATCATGCTATTTTCTGGTATTAATAGTACTCCTGCTTTATTGAAGCCAAATTAAACCAAACAAAACTAAACCAAGCCAAACAAAGAGCCCAAAGACAACCCTTGCAATGCCCTTCATTAGGTAAAGTTCTGAAGTGATCTGATGAAGTACCATGGTAACTTCTCAACTGTGAGAAAAAGGCCTCCAGTCGTACTGACTCCCTAGGCCAAAAGGCACATGTGATGTAACTTTTGAATATCCTCTAATCAACTTTCTAAAATGTTAAAAAAAATTTCCCCCTCCCCAAATGCAGAAAAGAATTACCTGGTTCTCATGGCAAGGCCCTTGGCAGTACTCGGTCAGACTTTCCAGGGTCTGGTTGATCAGAGCTACATTCTTTTCATTTATATACAGTCCAAGAAGACCAAGGCCTCCAGTTGTGCTTCCACAGATACAGTCCAGAAACTGCAGCGTCTCACACACCAAATTGTAGTTAGTCTTGTTATTCTGGCAACGAAGGAAGTTCTGCAATCATGCAGTTCCCGGATGGGGAGACCAAAGACAGAGAGAAGAGGAAAAAGGTCATTCACACTGCCACCTTGATGGTCTCTAACAGGTCAGTGTTCTGAGCTGATCATCAGTTATGCAGATGCAGCACAGGACAAGACAGAGCAGAAGACAGAGCCCCCAAGATGGTCAACCCATGGCTATGGCACTGTAACAGCGAAGAATTGGAAACAATCTAAATGGCCATCGACTGAGGAGTCATGAAAAAATTGTAGTATGCCACTTTTAATTAATATTATAAATTTGGAGAACTGAGTAGATCCTTATGTGCTAGTATGGAATGATCTCTAGGGTTAGGTTAAAAAAACGGAAATAGATTAATATGTGATATAAACAACATTTGAATCAGATGTTCTGATTCAAACACATAGAGAAAAGACTGGAATAATTCTCCATGGACAGAAGACAGATAATACTTTTAACTGCTTATTTTCATTTGAATCTTTATAAAAAGACTATATTCATATATTCTTTGTATAATGAAAACATTTGTGAATGCACATATTATAGTCTGGTAACCAAATTTAACACTGACTATTCATCAGACTAGCTCCCCTACTCCCAACCTAACCTATGTTCCTTTTCCTCAATAACTGTTCAGACCCAGTGGGAGGAGAAGACAGAAGGGTTGGGACTGTGTGAACTTTCCTAAGATAAGTGACTTTTTCTCAGGGTCACAGGACGCCAAAGGAGAGTTTCACAGCCATTCCTCCTTGCTCGGTCTGGCTCCTGAAGCAAGACGCTATGTCTTGGGGCCTGGCTGAACGCTCACCATGAAGACTGGAGTGCTCAAAACTCTTGTTCACAGCATGGCTCTCAAGACCCAACTCCTTCCAAATTCCAGTCACTGCTCCAACCACAGCCCTCCTCTGCTCCTGATGCCACCAGTCCCACCAGGTCCCCTGATGAGTGGTAATGGCATCGCTCCTGCCACGCTCATCTCTGCTCAGTGACACCATCACTCGCACTGGGTCCCTCCCTGCACAGTGACGTCAGCGTTCCTGCCATGTCCCTTTCCCTTGATGTCACTGCTCCTGCCAGACCCTTTTTGGTCAGCAGCAATGAACTTGTTCCTGCTTGTAAGCATTCTTCAAGCTCTTGCTTCTGAGGCTTCTTTCACATGATTCCCTATACCTGTCACACTCTCCTGGTCTCACCCAGACTCCTCTTCCTTCAGGATGTGGTCTAGAGTTACTTCTAGGAAGTCCTCCCCAATGCTGTAGGCCCACTCAGGCCACACTCTACTCTCCAAACAGTGATGTGCCTCTGGCGATGCTGATCGACCCCATGAGGGACCATGTTGACAACACTGGGTATCTGGTAGCTAGCACAAGGAGCTGGTGCTTATTAGGTACTTCATAAACACTGGTTGAACTAATTTGAATGAGATGGAGAAAAGGGAACTGGGGAACTCATAAGCTAATGGGGCACACATGTTTCTAACTCCCCCTGGAGGCTAGTTAGCTGCCCTTTATTGAAAGCTTGTCCCATCTATCTCAGTTTTTGCAGACTAGCCAGAGACTCCCCTTCTCTGACTCAGATCCATTTCCTCTTGTCCTCTGCTAAAACAGACACGTCTCCCACTGAGAGGTACACAGGAGCTCTTTCAGTGAACTGTTACCACACACCATCCTGCCTGGCCAAGGCTGGAGAAATCCTGCTCTTCCTGTGGTCTTCCTGGGAGAGCTGAGGGTAGATTAAGTGGAGGAGAGGACACAGAAGTGAAAGACTTCAAATCTGTGCGTGTGCAGGCTCCAGCAGAGTAATCAGGCCCTGCATTCATTAACCTAGGCACAAAGCCAAGTCAGCTGCTTGGGAAGGGTTCAAAACTGCACACAAACTGGTTAAAGAACAGTTCTGCCCATCAGGTTCCTGACTACTGTAAGCAAGGCTTACTTAAGATGGCAACTGCCCATTTGGCTAAGTCAAATTTGGTGGCTTTATCTCTACTGAATATTTACCAACAGGAAAGCTGAGGTTATAAATATGACCAAAAAAAAAAAAAACAAAAACCAACTCTGGGCACAAACCCAGAGACTGCTGCTTCAGAAGGCTGGTTCCCTTTTCTCTCTGAGCTGATCTGTACTTCTTTATACCAGGGAGCTAAAAATTACTCGTGAGAATGTCTTTTCCTCCCTTAGATCCATGAGGAAACCCTGACCCAGTGGCCCACCATCTGTCCCAGAACACTGCCAGCAGGGTGGCATTCAGAGTAGTTGAATTTCATTTAAAACCATCATTTGGGAAATGGATTCCTGAAAATGTAATTTTACTGAAGCAAGCCACCACTCAGGCAAGCCTGATTTTGTGGGAGGTTTTTTTTCGGGGAGGTGTGGTGCCGGGGATCGAACTCAGGACCTTTCGCTTGTGAGGCAGGCAGCATTGTGGGAGTTTTTAAAAGATGATTCTAACCTATACCCTTATGAGTCTCTGGTCCAGTTCACTGGCTTTCCCACCAGGCACTGTAGAAACCTTGGGATGTTTCCCCCCTTCTAGGACTCTTGTGGATTAAGAGGACTCTTGTGGATCAAGAGGACTCTTGTGGATGAGGGGAAGAAAGCTCCAGCACTCTTTAATTTCAACTTTGAAAACAAAACAGCTTTGCTCTCATCTGCTTAGCTTAGTACATTTCTGCATAAGATGTTCTTCAGACAAAGGATTCTACAGCCAAAGCGGGGAGGGGTTTAAACCACTGAATTGGATAACTTTATGTACCTTCAAATGTTAAGTTGCTACATCTTTTTTCATATAGGAATATATCCTGTGCATTCACCTTGCCCCCCAAGCACTGCTGCCCCACAGCATGGAACAGAATGGAGTTTTGGAAGGACTTCATTAAAGGCAGCTTTCCCCAAGGCTTCCCAGGACATTAGTTTGAAGAATTTTGTGAAGAGCTAAGGTTCAAAGCTATACTTCTGAAGACTTCCAAATCAGAAATGATGAACATGTATAATCAAAGCCTTACTCTGTTCACATAGTGGAAGGAAAATGGGTGTGTCAGGAAGGAGGGATGATAGAGGGGCAGAAGGCAGGCAGGTCCGTGAAACCAGAACCACTTGGAGTGAGGGACATTAGCACTGCCACTCTGAAGTGCAGGGAGGACTCTACCAAGGCAGCCTGGAGTCTGATGAGTTCACAACTCAGCAGGCATCAGCTCCTCTAAGAGGCCTCCCTGGCCCCTACACACTGTTCAGTTCCCCTCCTCTAAACCCACAAAGCCCCTGTGATTATATCATGAAGCACTCAGCACACTGCACCACAATCCACTGTTGGCCCTTGTCATGACTTGTATCTAGATGTCCCCCCAAAGCCTCATGCCGTCACAAGTGAGGCTTTTTCAGAGGTGGCTGGATCTAGAGTGTGTGATGCTGGAACTGATTCATGGTGCAACACTAGCCTCAAGGGCACTAGGATTAAGAGGGTGTGTGCCACCCTCCCTAAGCAGTCTGGATAAGTTAAAAAGGGACAGAAAGACCCTGTTTGCTTTCGCTGTCTCCTGCTTGCCATTAACTGTTTCTCCTCTGCAATGCCCCTCTGCCAAGCCACCCTGCCTTAGAGCCAGCCAAAAAGAGAGGGAAACCTCTCTTTTCCCTCTTTAACTTTGGGTGTCAGGTATTTTGTCTCAGCAATGAGAGAAAATTAACTAAGACAGCCCTAGTGGCTGCAGCCCTAGATGCTCACCTCTGATGGGTAAGGTCTGCCACCACCAGTGCCAGTTGCAGAGCAGAGATTCACCTGATGCACGTGACACAGACCTGCACAGACATCCTCTCTACCTACTTTCCTTTTGGAGTCTAAGGTTGGTGGAGACCAGTGACACTGCACGGAAATGGTACAGGGCACTAATCACCAAGCTCAACCTAGAAACAACCCCCAACAACAGGGCCCACAAAGATGGCATAGATGAACCACTTAGCCTTAGTTCTCTGAGAGTTCCTCACTCCCCTTCAGACAGCCTCCCTCATGACTAAAGGGTGTAGCCTGTCAGGTGGAAGAATAGAGGAGACCAGGGACAGTCATCTTGAGACACAGAAATAGCAGCTAAAGAGACAATGAGCAGACTGTGGGGCTTTGAGGTGAGAGAGTTCTGCTCTGTCTGACTGAGCTGAGCAGTCTGAGCCCATGGACCTGAGACTCAGGGTTCTCAGTGCTGAGAAGGAAAGATGGAGTAATTGACAAGGTAGCTGGCACCAGGAACCCATGCTCTGATGCTGACTATGATGTTAGTGGCCAAAACTGACTGGAAGCAAAGTAAAGAAAGGGCTCCAGACTGTATGAAGGGCACTGCCACACAGCACTGGGGTCTGACAGTGGGGTTTGTGGGTAGTCAACTGATGGCCAATTAATGACTGAGACGGTTTTTTAAAGTTCAGGCCAAGAAGGTGATATTGCAGATTTCTTCCAGCTCTATTTCATTGTTCTGCCTTACTGTTTAACAATGTAACTTCCAGCTTAGCTGAAATCACACAGATTCTGTGGCAAATTTTAAGTAACAGCAATAAAATGTGGCAACATCAAATGGTCCAGCCACAGTTGTAGAGGGCCATGAAGTCACCTGTTGCACAAAGTCAGGGACATGGTGTATATATAGGTATACCTTCCCCTTGCCAGATATGGACTAGCATAATTTCCTTTTTGTACCATCACCATTCGATCACAAAGAACTACCAGTGCCAATGTCCTTGTTAGGAAGAAACACTCCATCTTATCAGAGATGCCTGGGTGTACTTTCCCTGTTCATCCTTCCACCACTCAGGCAGAGGGCTGGTTTCCCAAGGTTCAAGAGTCAGCAGCAAAACCAGGCAGAGGCCCAGGTCCCAGAGCTCCAGCATGCTTCTCCCAGGCGGGGATAGGCCTCCACAGATCTAGGCCTATCTTGTCTTTCCAGCTTTTGCTGCTGGAAACTTCACAAAAGAGATAACATGTCCCCTGTTGTAGCATTTAGTCATAGTATGATCATCAATCTCTGACTCAAGCCCCACTCCCTAATCATATCCCCTAATCATAAGCAGTACTAATATAAATAATCTTTAGCATCTAGGATATTCTAAGTGGCCGGGAAATTACTGTTTTGATCCCAAAACAACAAAATGAACAAAAGATTTCTGAAATAATCAACAAAGACTTCCGAATACTTAGTTGTTTAACATTTCTTGTTTGGTGCTAGGGATTGAACCCAGGGCCTCATGCATGCTAGGCAAGCAATCTACCACTGAGCTGTATCCCTAGCCCTGAGTACTTATTTGTGTAAAACAGCAGAAGGCAGGTGCTTCATTCAGTCATTCAACAAATATAGTCATGTATTACTTGAGGGTGGAAATATGTTCTAAGAAGTGTGTTGCTGGGTGATTTTGTTGTGCAAAGAGCATATTTATAAACCTTCATGGTACAGCCTACCACACTTAGGCTATATGGCATATACTATCATATATGAAGTCTATCACTGATCAAACTGACATTATGCTGTGCATGACTTTAGTAATTAGAACTTTCTATGTACCTGTTTTTTAAAAATCTGATGTATTTAATGTATTTAATAAATACATGTAAATCTAATGTATTTAATAATCCATCCATCCACTTTCTACATAAGCACCTGTATGCCAAACAGTAGCAAGATACAGGTATATGTAGGCACCTATACACACTGAACAAATACATATAAAGCCACCTGGTGAACGAGACTGTGATCCTTGGTCCTGTGGAGTCACTAGGGAAGACAGGAACACATCAACCATCTAGAATTTTGTGCCAGACAATCATACTGGATCCTCAACTCAAGCAACCTGATTATAGTGAGAGGAGTTGAACTGTCAGAGGAAGCCAGGCCCCGGAGCGTCCCCACCCCTCACCTGCAGGTCTCGGTTGTGGTTTTCACACAGTAGCTGCAGGAAACGGAGGATGGGCTGCATGATGGTGATGACCGCGCTCATCTCCAGGTCGTCCTTGGTCTTGTCAGTGGTGGCCTGGGTGCCCTCCCCTGGCTGGTAGTGGTCATCAGGGTCGGCTTCCCTCCTGAAGGTGGTGAAAGCTTTTCTGGTGGCAGTGGATGCCTCTAGGAGCTGATCACGGACCTCTTCTGTTATCTGTGTCAAGGGTTCTTTCGCTAGAACACAATCATGAGACTGTCAAGGCTACTGTATCCTCAGGAGGACCACTTACCACACACACCAAAGACCAGGTTAGAAAACTAGATTCTAGTATTCACTAGAGACCCACAAGCCTGGCAAAATACTGCAAAAAGTCACTCTCTCCTCTCAGTTCTCAGGCAGGATGAAAGTGGAGTCAAGCCCTGCCAGCTTGCTATGGTTCTCACATTTCATCTAGGCCTGAACTGTGTTTATAGGAAAAGCCTTAGTATAGGCTCTCCTGACCTCAGGAATCTAAAGCCCTAAGCCTCAGCTTTCTCCTCTGTAAAATGGGTAAAATGGGAGAACATCAGTGAGTTCTATCTCCAGAAGGTTCCCAAGAGGCTTAATGTAATGCTAATTACTACTATAATTATTGTTACTATATTGATAAGTGATTGACCCTTTGCAAAATGCCAAGACACTACGATTAAGCATTTTTTATGTACTATCTTAGCTGGTCTTCAGAATAACCCTGTGATACAGCCATGGCATTAAAAACCCAGACTCTGCAGCCGGCCTTGGCTGGGTTTGAATGCTGGCTCCAATGCCTTCTAGTTGCAAGTAAATAACAAGTTAATTACCGTATCTGTGCCTCAGTTTCCTTACTTAGAAACTTGAGATAACAATTTAACCATTATAAAGGGTTAACTTGAGCTTTAAATGAATTGACAAAAGTAAAAAAAAAACTTTGAGCAGGGCCTTGCTACAGTTTGGCTCTGCAATGTGTGCTACAGGCCCGTGTGCTAAAGGTCTAGTCCCTCACTGTGGTGCCACTGGGAGTGGAACAGTCTTTAAGAGGTGGAGCCTATGAGAGGTCTTAGGTCACTGCAGGTGTCCCCTTAAAAAGTGCTGTGGAATCCTGATCTTTTCTGCTTCTTAGCCATGAGGTGAGTGGTTTTGCTCTGCACTCCCATCATGATGGGCTGACTTGGGACAGGCCCAAAAGGCCAAAGGGTCCAACGATCATGAATTAAAACTTCTGAAGCTGAGAGCCAAAATAAATCTTTCTCTGAGCTGGCTAATCTCATGTTACAGTGACTGAAAGCTAACACATACCTAATGCATAGTAAGTATTTAGTAAATGGTACTTATTCTTATTTTTCTTCTCTGTATCCTCATTCTAGAGTAGTGGCTCTTAACCAGGGGCTCTGTTCTGTCCCCAGAGATAAGCAGGACTGTCTGGAGACATTTTTGATTCAGGGTGGGGGCATGCTACTGGTATCTAACTGCACAGAGGCCACATATGTCATTAAATGTGCTACAATGCACAGGACAAATCCTACAATGAGGAATTCTCCAGATTTCAATTGTGCTTGGTTGGGAAATCCAGATCTAAACTTGAAAAATAAGCTCAGAGTATTTAATTAATTTGCTCAAGGCTGCTAGACTCCAAAACTTGTAGGTCTACCTACCCATTCTTCAGTACTGTTTTTCTTTGCCAGTGAGATCATGGATGAACCACTTTATACTTCAGAAAATAGGGAGAAATTGCCTGACAAATGACTGATACCAGTTTTAAAGTACATGTTTTTCTAAATTTCTTGTGAATGGAAATCACAGGAAAAGAATATTCAATAAAACCTAACAATAAAACCTCCTACTTGACTAAGAAGAATGTTTGCTAATTTATTAAACGAGACTACCTAAGCAGCACGACCTCAGCACAGTCACTTTGAAGACTCATATCCTAACCAGACTGGTTGTTTTTTACGCAAGACCCTAGTTAGAATGCAACTTGGAGTCTCAAAGTAATTAAAACCTCAAGGAGAACACCGCATACTCCTGGTTCCCAGTCCAGCTGGTAGAAGATAAAGAGCATTACCTTTTTTCCGAGATGGGGCATCCCTGTCTACCTCATCGTCTTTCTTTTTGTTTCCCAAGTCACTGGTGTTCACAGTCACAGTTGCCTTAATTTCCTGTTGAGCCAATTTCATTCGATCATAAAAGACCTTAAAGAACTTTTCTGACTTCTTATCTTCTGTCAACCGGCAGAAAAAGGAGTGCTGCCAAAGAAAACCCACAGATTTTCAGCACTATGATGAACAAAGTAATAACCCCTTAAGACCCCCAAACTTAATGGGAGATTAGAGCCAGTTACATATTTTACTAGTCTAGGTTGAGACCAAGGTTAATATGACTCTGCAGACCATCACTCTCTGGGGGCCAAGGCCTGAGGTTTTCAACACAGAGCCTTTAAAACAAATTTGTCCCCAAAGCAGCCACATAAGGCTGTGGAACCTGCTTAAGCGTGGTGGGCAGACTTCAGCCAACTGAGAATAACCCCTCCCTCCCCTGCACACACACCAAACAACTCCATAAACAATGGAACGGGAAAGTTAGTTTAATTTTTTGTGATGTTAGGGATCAAACCCAGAGCCTTGAACGTGCTAGACAAGTACTCTACCAATAAATTACATCTCCAGTCCTGGAAATATTTTTGGTGATCACTGCAGGGCGGTCATGTGTTCAAGGACTTCTCTGTGCTTCCCTCCTGTGCAGAGCCCTATGAGTTACACACAGATGAGTAAGGTGTGTCAAATGCCCATAGGGTCATTAACAAACAGGTAAAGATGACACAGCTGTAGGTCAGACTGACACACGAAAGTCAAAAGTGCTGGGCTGGGGATTTAGCTCAGCGGTTCCGCCACCTGCCTTGCAAACACAAGGACCCGAGTTCAATCCCGGATAGCCCCCGCCCCACCGCCCCGCCAAAAAAAGTGCTCAGGAAGATACATGATTATATTATAAGAGCTCAGAGCTGCTGAAGAGGACACTGGGCTGCACTGATTTCAAAATAAGACCTTAAAGGAAAGATAAGAGTGGTTAGATGAAAAAGCTCAAAATTAACAGGTAGCGTGCCTCATGGATACACATTTGTTTTTGGAAGCAAGCAAGAGTACACATTGTTGATGTAAAAACACAATATGGTATCTCAACTTCATTATGAGTATTTGCTTTTCACCCCCTTGCAAGTACCACACTGTTGTGAATTATTTACATAAAAATACAATACGGTAATTTCCAGAGGAACAAAACAAAGCTCCAAACAATATATTTGCTTCTCCCAGTAGATCTTTCTGCCAACTTCATGCCCTCCCATTTGGAAAGATGGAAAGCTTCCCTACAGGGAAGCCCTAGGCTTCCAAATCTGGAAAGAACTAAAATCCTACCAGCTCTTCAAAGGCCCACAACTCTTCCCACTCTGGCCTATACACACCCTGCAATACCTTCCTGGAGAGCTGCCATACTTTCCACCTGTCAATATGTAACCATAGTCATTTCAACCCTTCTGGCCACAGGCCCATATGCCACATTAACAAACATCTGTCCCATTTCTCCACTGAATTTCTTGATTGTGTCCTTTATTCTCCCTCTTGCTATTCTTGACTTTGGGTTGTTTCTTACATACAACACAGAATCCATTCTTCCTGCATGTGCTCTCTGGTTCTATCTTTTCTCCTCCATCTACTCCCAAATACTCATACACATATCTCCACCTCCCTGATTACTCACCCTTATCATTCCATGTGCCATTGAGTCCTCCAACACTCCCACCAGAGAACCAAGCTTAAATCTTGAGTGTCCTCCATTGCCCTTTACTGTCTTTGGTTTGATTTTAGGTTCCTCCCATTCCATCCATTCTTCCACCCACTACTATGCACTTGTCATGAGTGTACTGTGTTGGGTAGATGAGAAATGATGGTGAACACAAAAAACCTGGACTCTCCCCTCGTGGAACTGGCAGCCATGTAAGGAAGAGACACAGTGGTGATTTGACAATTACACTAATGACTATTTACTAAAATAGACTTTTATCCCTATGAAAATGATCCAAGAGTCAGACAGGAAATAGTTCTATGGCAGATACTCAATGCCAATGCTCTCTTCCCTTGCTGTCCCTGGTTCTCTCCTAGGCCAGGACCTTATCTTTTGGTCTCATCACTATGTTACCTCTTCAATGAAGCCACCCCTAAATCAGCTCCCAGGCCAACTGCTTATTCTCACATGCCTTGTTTTATTCTCTTCACAGCAACAGCACACTCTGAAACTACACTTGTATTCACTATTGCGCTGCCCATTGTCTGTCTCAGGCAGATGTAAACTCTATGAAGGCAGGTGGCTCTCCGTGTGGTCGGCAGCTGCCTCCAGAGCTCCTGGGAGTCCAGCATGCAGTAGGCACTCCCTAATTATTTGGTTAAAGAGTCACTATAACCAAATCTTTTATGGCTCCTCGTAACTGGACCTCCCCCAATTAGATTCTTTTTCAATGCAATGGATATGACAAAAATACCACCAAATAAATTAATTCTAGAAAACTGCTTAAAAATCAGAATCCAAGTTCCAAATGTTCACCTCTTTTAGAGCCAACACATCCACAAACAAAAAGGATATGTAAGAATGAACAATACAACCTGTAAGTTATCTGCTAACAAGCACTAGACTTCATCCCAAGACAAGACATATGTCTTCCCACATCCAGACTCACAGAAGACTACTCCCTGACTCTGGTGCCCCTAAGGACGATTCACTTCAGTTGCTACCCCAGCATGGAGGCAGCTTTAAAAGCATTTGGGGACAGGGCTGGGGATGCAGCTCAATGGCACTGTGTCTCCCTGTCAAGTGCAAGGTCCTGAGTTCGATCCCCAGTACCAAAGGGGGAAAAAAAAGCATCTGGGGACAACCTGGTCATTCAAAATGACAATTAACATAA